TACCTAACTTTCAGGTACCCGTTTAATGTTAGGTAAAGAGAGGCATCAGGTGAAAGGAATTATGCCCAACCATTTCTGTCCTGGCCCGGGATTGAACATGGGTTCTGCTCTTGTGAGGCAAGGACATCACTGTGCTACAGGACCTTATATACATACATAAATTATTTACATTATTTTTATAAAGTAAGCCTACTGTATTTTCCAATTTATTGTCAGTTGCAATATAAATCTCAGTATCATAGTAAACCCTCACATGCAGTTTACCTGGTGGTGAATATTTTTTAACAAGGTCTTGTCTCCTTTCATCCATTCACTAACTCTCTTGGCAAAGGGTGCAGGTAAACTTATCTTGCCAGAATAGCGATCATGGACCTCGTACAATGTAAGAAACTTCTGGTAGATATCTGCACATTCGGCATTTTCAGACTCGGACCATGCTGAGATAAGGCTACCAAATATTTCCTCGAGATCGTCCGAGAAGTTCCCACCAAAGCATTCAACTGTATACCATTGCTAAAAAGTAAATAAAATACTTTACATAAATTTAAGTTATTTTTAGGAAGTGAATCAATTTTTATATAATTTATATGACAATTCACGAGTAGTGCTCAATACGTTGTCTTTTAAAATGATGTACATAGTGCTGCTGTGGATGAGTGCTGGAGTGGATGAGTGCTGGAGTGATAGTGCTTGTTTATATACACCGTATTGTGAATAAAATAATGAATTGAAGTGTGATATTTTAAACTTTTCATTATTCAATATCTATTGCCTAACTTCTGGTACATATTTATTGCCAGGTGAACAGAGACATCAGGTGACAGAAAATGTACTCAAATGTCTGTCCTGCTGCAGGAAATGAACCTGTGACCTTTCAGCTGTGACCCCAACTGTGTTGACCACTTTGCTACTTTAAATTCAGCATCATCTGCTTTAAGGTGCCAAATAATCCCTATAAAAGAAAACAATGCACACATCTGAAAATGAAGAACTGACAACCTTTGAATCCATCCTGGACTATTGTCAAGTTGTGCAACCAAAAGTCGGTTCTTCATAATCAGATGTGCATGTTGGGTGTCAACTCTTCAGCCACGTTATTGTGACTCGTCGTCTACTTAGGAAACATCTCACCTGCGAGCGTTTGATTTTACTGCTGAACAACGGCCAAACAGAATATTCTTCAATCAATGGGTGAGGATTTTTCCACTGTTTGCGCCACAAGTATCTTTTCAAGTTCAGTTGATACATCAAATATATCACTGCAGCCACAAATAACAGAGCCATAATCCTCTGAAATTGCTTCATTGTATCTGTTGGAAAATAAAATCAATAATACTAAAATAGTGTACTGTATTTTGGCATTTGAATAAATTTGTATACGTTCCAAGAAAGTCAGTTAACACAACTGCATGTAATAGTACTCAACAATTGTGTACATGCAATATGGAAAGATATTTATGAGCTTTGTATACATCAATATACATGTTTAATGCAATGTTCAGAGCGCGTCAATTTTGAATATAAAATGTATATTCTAATACGTACTACATTACAGTTACCATCATGATAATATCATTCTACTAAAAAATATATCAAGAGATTCATGCTGGCCTACTCCTATTCAATGAGAAGAAAGCCTTGTGCTATACTGTACTATATAATGTTAGTGGCTTTGCAAGAATGTAAAGATACCACTCATATATAACCTCACAATCCCATTGTACCTTGTTGTGAATAAAAATTATTATTATTAATATAATATGTGGCAAACATGTATAAGTCACATGTTCTGCAGTAAACTTGTGAATGGCTCAATATGAGCGAGAGACTAGCCTTTGTTACAAGGAAACATGGGGCCCAAAATACCTCTAAATATATTTTAATGCAACACTTGAACAAATATATTATTTACCCAGTATATTCTGTAATATAGAGCTCGGTTTAAAAAAGGAGACAAACTATTTTCAAAATATTTTTTTTTACTGTCCCTCAGAATTTGTAGATCTTCATGTGCAGTTAATTTTGCTAAAGTTTATATTGCCCACAGTGCAGATGTGTCACCAGGATATTTCAGCCCAGATATATCTACCTACCATTCTATCCAGATTCAATGTCCTGTATATAATTCAAATTGTTTCAATATACAGTACATTACCTCTTATTTAATCTATCGTATGACACTTTCAAATTTTCCTTGACAAACAATATTACTCTAGCTATTTCTATTTTGTCTGTCAAGGTGAAATAATTTATATAGTATTCCAATTTTTGTTATCAACTTGGTTGACCTGACCAACAACCAGGAGGCCTGGTCAGAGACCGGGCTACAGGTACATTGATCCTTGGAACCAGCAACAGGTAGACAACAGATAAATCATTAAATTAATTTAACAAAATTTTAAACCTGAATAAAAAATATTTAAAGTGTTTAACAAATTATTTAGTGAAAATATAGAAGGAAAGGACTTCAGTACTGTACACAAGACAGGCTGGTTCCTCCATGAAAGGCTTCATATTGGGTCAGAGGGATGTGAAGGAGTGTTAAACCTGCTATCTGGGTCCTTAAAATGCCAGTACATATCACAAGGCACCACATAATGTATCTCTTAGTGTACATCTATATTACTGTACTGCATTATTAATTAAATAAATTCATTATCGTTTAACATATTCTATTTTTCTTAGTATTCAGCATTATTTCAAGCAATTTAAGTTCACATCCTAGTACTGTATATAATTGGGATCTTACTGACCTTTTATGTTTTTATCAACTAACCTGTTAAGCAAAACGATAATTTTAGTTTATCACTCCAGAGTTTATACACAATTGACGACACGTGAATTCTTGCAGCTTCTATGGGAGCCGATCCTTTGTACCACATAATGGTCAGTGGTACTTTATCTTGTATATCACTTCACTTCTCTCTTTTTCTGATCCCTAAAATGAAACCAATGTAAACAAAACAATAAGAGAAAATATATATACTTGAAAAATCTAAAACACACTTTTTGTGACTTAATACTTATGAATAAATACTATCCCTTACCTTGAGGTGGTTTCCGGGCTTAGCGCCCCTGCGGCCCGGTCGTCGAACAAGGTCTCATGTATGACTAGCATAGAAAACACACACATTTTGTGTAGCTGAATGCACAAGGCTCATAATTTCTCAATATACCAATGTTATCTATACTATGTTTTATGTTGGAGAAGTGCATTTTATTTGTATGTGAAAGAAAATTAGAGTTATGACTGAAAACCCAAGGGAATTAGAATGAATGAGGAAGGTTTCTAAACAGAGAAGGATGAAGAGGATGTGTTCAGAGCTTCCGTAAAGATGATCATGGCCTATCCTCTTGAACAGTACATCAGATGTTGATTTATAAATCTCCAAAGACAAAATATGATGCACTATAAATCACTGTGGCTCACAAAATTGATGGGCTGACCCATTTTTGATTCATGGGTCCACTGTTATGTTAGGTTTGGGCAATTTAGTACATCATTATTTAATTTTTTAGTGACATTCTGACAATTCAAGACGACAGGTTACTTGATAAACTATGAAGGAATGTAAGTTGTGTATGACATTTATAAACCTAGAAAAAACAGTCCCTGTGGAGCTGTGGTAAGACACTCGACCCGAACTTCACAAGCGATTTGACCTGGGTTCATATCCTGGTCAGGGAGGATTGACTAGGTGCCAATACTTTATTAACTGAACACCTCTGTTCACCCAGCTAAGAATGGGTACCAAGTGGTTAAACAATTTGGCGGGTCGTATTCCAGGGAAAATTAAGATTAAGAACCTGCCGAAAACACTATGCGTGCTAGTGGCTTTACAAGAATGTAAGAATTCTTGTATAGAGTACCTGTATATATAAATAAAAATATATCTGCAAGTAGGTATGGTCAGAAGAGCATATTGGAATTGGATACAAGTTTATTTGCCAATGGATTTTAAATCTACCTAACCTAACCCAACCTAATTAACGTAACTCAACAAAGCTTAACAACAGCCATTGGCAATACACGTTCAATGAAATCACAAAAATGTGTTGAATCTATGAGAAAATAGGGTGGTGGGCATGCAACTGGACTGAAACTGCATCCTTGAACTCCTAACCTAACAATACTAATACTGTATATACTGTTTTAACAGAAAATTAACTTTGGCGAAATGCTCATGAATAATTTGACCACGTCGTTACCAACAAAAATGGTGTACGGTCAAATTGTACACAGAAATTTTGACAACACTCGTTTTCTGACTTTCAAAATCATATACAGTATACAGTATCATAAACCAAAAAGATACATAAATTATGTTAGTTGGGTTAGGTTAGGTTTGGTGCCATTAGGTAGATACTGTATTAAAATGCACTAGTGAATCATCTACGTACGATGCGACTAATACAGTCAAATCATACACACATTTCGACAAAGCTCGTTTTCCAATGAAAATCGTGAAGTTAGGCTGTGTTACCCTAGGTTAGGTCAGATTGAACAGGGTAAAGGTTAGGTTAGGTTGAACAGGGTAAACATTAGGTTAGGATGAACAGGGTAAACATTAGGTTAGGATGAACAGGGTAAACATTAGGTTAGGATGAACAGGGTAAACATTAGGTTAGGATGAACAGGGTAAACATTAGGTTAGGATGAACAGGGTAAACATTAGGTTAGGTTGAACAGGGTAAACATTAGGTTAGGTTGAACAGAGTAAACATTAGGTTAGGTTGAACACGGTAAACATTAGGTTAGGTTGAACAGGGTAAACATTAGGTTAGGTTAGTTAGGTTTTAAAACAAATAGTTGGCGACCAAACATGTGTATATCCAGGTAAAGGTGTACATGACTCGTACCTACAAGTTAGTGTAGTTTACTGTAGAATGAAGACAAGACCATCAAGCAGTAGCGTGGAGAGGGGCCAGCACGACCCCAGGGCTGACGGCACCTGCAACACTGAGGCTCCTGTGCTGTCATCCTGTCTGTCAGTCAAGCATGGTGACACGTTGTCAGCCGGGGCTGGTGCGTGACTGACGTGCGTGCAGAGCTGCCAGATCCAAATCCAAATTGCTGAAAGTAAATATGTAAATATATACATATACATATATATATATATATACATATATATATATATATATATATATATATATATATATATATATATATATATATATATATATATATATATATATATATATATATATATATATATATATATATATATATGTCGTACCTAGTAGCCAGAACTCACTTCTCAGCCTACTATTCAAGGCCCAATTTGCCTAATAAGCCAAGTTTTCCTGAATTAATATATTTACTATAATTTTTTTCTTATGAAATGATAAAACAACCCTTTTCTCTATGTATGAGGTCAATTTTTTTTTATTGGAGTTAAAATTAACGTAGATATATGACCGAACCTAACCAACCCTACCTAACCTAACCTAACCTATATTTATAGGTAAGGTTAGGTTAGGTAGCCAAAAAAGCTAGGTTAGGTTAGGTTAGGTAGGTTAGGTAGACGAAAAAACATTAATTCATGAAAACTTGGCTTATTAGGCAAATCGGGCCTTGAATAGTAGGCTGAGAAGTGCGTTCTGGCTATTAGGTACGACATATATATATATATATATATATATATATATATATATATATATATATATATATATATATATATATATATATATATATATACATATATATATATATATAAAACCTAAAATGGGTACCACCTCTGGTGCAAGTATAGGGACTCATAGCCTCGAAGAAAATAAAGAGTACCCGGAGAAGACCTTGTGGATCCTCACTGAACACTTTTTTCTTTTTTTTTTTTGATATATACAAGAGTTGTTACATTCTTGTACAGCCACTAGTACGCGTAGCGTTTCGGGCAGGTCCCTGGAATACGATCCCGCCGCGAAGAATCGTTGTTACAACCAAGTACTCATTTTACTGTTGAGTTAAACAGAGGCTACAGTTAAGGATTTGCGCCCAGTAAATCCTCCCCGGCCAGGATACGAACCCATGAAAAAGCGCTCGCGGAACGCCAGGCGAGTGTCTTACCACTACACCACGGAGACTGGTAAATATTGATATTTACCTATTTACTTTTACTTACTTTACACTCTGATATTTTCTTCTCCTACCACCCCTATTCTTTTAGTATGTGTGTATATATTTTGTAAAAGGAGCCTAACTAGTTGTGTAACCGAAGCTCGACCAGTTGTGTAACCAGACCCGACCAGTTGTGCAACCATAAGCCTAGCAAGTATACATCTCATCCAACCCCCACAAAGCTAAATAGTCCCAGAGCACAACCAAACTCCATTCCTGGGCCGACCAAACAAAAATAATCTTAGCGCTACCTAAAACCCTCCACTTGCCCTAGAAATCAACTATATGGAGCCATAGCAAACAATTGAACTATATACAAAAAAAGAAACCCAAATTTCTAGCAAACATAAACATAAAGCCCTAGCAAAAAAACTTGGAGCACTAGTACACAAACAACCACTGGAGCACAACCATGTACAACCCAAACCCCAACAAGTCACACCCCTGGAGTAATGCAATCGGAACCACACAAGTTGTGTAACTGAAGCCCGACCAGTTGTCTAACCACAAGCCTAGTATGAACGAACCATACAACCTCTGGATCACAACCTTGCACGAACGGAAGCCTGATCATGCACAACCCAAAGCCCAAATGACACCCCCGGAGCCCGACCAGTTATTTAACCGGAGCCCGACCAGTTGTGTAACCGGAGCCCGACCAGTTATTTAACCGGAGCCCGACCAGTTGTGTAACCAGAGCCTGACCAGTTGTGTAACCAGAGCCCGACCAGTTGTGTAACCGCAAACCTAGCATGAACGAACCAAACAACCTCTGGATCACAACCATGCATGAACCAAAGCCCGACTATGCATAACCCGAAGCCCAAGTGACACCCCCGGAGCCCGACCAGTTATGTAACCGGAGCCCGACCAGTTGTGTAACCGAAGCTCGACCAGTTGTGTAACCGGACCCCGACCAGTTGTGTAACCTTAAGCCTAGCAAGTATACATCTCATCCAACCCCCACCAAGCGAAACAGTCCCAGAGCACAACCAAAGTCCATTCCTAGCTCGACCAAATAAAAAACTTATTAGCCCTACCTAAAACCCTCCACTTGCCCTAGACACCAACTATATTGACCCATAGCAAACAATTGAACTATATACAAAAAAAAGAAACCTGGATTTCTAGCAAACATATAAACATAGATCCTTAACAAACAACCGCTGAAGCACAACCATGCACGAACCGAAGCCTGGCCATGCACAACCCATAGCCCAAGTGACACCCCCGGAGCCCGACCAGTTATTTAACCGGAGCCCGGCCAGTTATTTACCCGGAGCCCGACCAGTTGTGAAACCGAAGGTCGACCAGTTGTGTAACCAGACCCCAACCAGTTGTGCAACCATAAGCCTAGCAAGTATACATCTCATCCAAGCTAAACAGTCCCAAAGCACAACCAAACACCATTAGTAGCTCGACCAAACAAAAATCTCCTTAGCCATACCTAAAACCCTCCACTTGCCCTAGACACCAACTCTTGAGCCATAGCAAACAATTGAACTATATACAAAAAAAAGAAACCCAGATTTCTAGCAAACATATAAACATAGATCGAGCCTTAGCAAACAAACCTGGTGTACTAGTACACAAACAACCGCTGAAGCACAACCATACACGAACCGAAGCCCGACCATGCACAACCCAAAGCCCAAGTGACACCCCCGGAGCCCGACCAGTTATATAACCGGAGCCCGACCAGTTGTGTAACCGGAGCCCGACCAGTTATTTAACCGGAGCCCGACCAGTTGTGTAACCGAAGCCTGACCAGTTGTGTAACCAGACCCCAACCAGTTGTGCAACCATAAGCCTAGCAAGTATACATCTCATCCAACCACCACCAAGCTAAACAGTCCCAAAGCACAACCAAACTCCATTCCTAGGTCGACCAAACAAAAATTTTCTTAGTGCTACCTAAAACCCTCCACTTGCCCTAGAAACCAACTATGGAGCCATAGCAAACAATTGAACTATATACAAAAAAATAAACCCAGATTTCTAGCAAACATATAAACATAGATCAAGCCTTAGCAAACAAACCTGGTGCACTAGTAAACAAACAACCGCTGAAGCACAACCATGCACGAACCAAAGCCCGACCATGCACAACCCAAAGCCCAAGTGACACCCCCGGAGCCCGACCAGTTATTTAACCGGAGCCCGACCAGTTGTGTAACCGAAGCCTGACCAGTTGTGTAACCAGACCCCGACCAGTTGTGCAACCATAAGCCTAGCAAGTATACATCTCATCCAACCCCCACCAAGCTAAACAGTCCCAAAGCACAACCAAACTCCATTCCTAGCTCGACCAAACAAAAATCTCCTTAGCCATACCTAAAACCCTCCACTTGCCCTAGAAATCAACTATAGAGCCATAGCAAACAATTGAACTATATACAAAAAAAATAAACCCAGATTTCTAGCAAACATATAAACATAGATCGAGCCTTAGCAAACAAACCTGGTGCACTAGTAAACAAACAACCGCTGAAGCACAACCATACACGAACCGAAGCCCGACCATGCACAACCCAAAGCCCAAGTGACAGCCCGACCCCGGAGCCCGACCAGTTATTTAACCGGAGCCCGACCAGTTGTGTAACCGAAGCTCGACCAGTTGTGTAACCAGACCCCGACCAGTTGTGTAATAAGCCTAGCAAGTATACATCTCATCCAACCCCCACCAAGCTAAACAGTCCCAAAGCACAACCAAACACCATTAGTAGCTCGACCAAACAAAAATCTCCTTAGCCATACCTAAAACCCTCCACTTGCCCTAGACACCAACTCTTGAGCCATAGCAAACAATTGAGCTACACTATATACAAAAAAAAGAAACCCAGATTTCTAGTAAACATATAAACATAGATCGAGCCTTAGCAAACAAACCTGGTGCACTAGTACACAAACAACCGCTGAAGCACAACCAGACACGAACCGAAGCCCGACCATGCACAACCCAAAGCCCAAGTGACACCCCCGGAGCCCGACCAGTTATTTAACCGGAGCCCGACCAGTTGTGTAACCAGAGCCCGACCAGTTATTTAACCGGAGCCCGACCAGTTGTGTAACCGAAGCCTGACCAGTTGTGTAACCAGACGCCGACCAGTTGTGCAACCATAAGCCTAGCAAGTATACATCTCATCCAACCCCCACCAAGCTAAACAGTCCCAAAGCACAACCAAACTCCATTCCTAGGTCGACCAAACAAAAATTTTCTTAGTGCTACCTAAAACCCTCCACTTGCCCTAGAAACCAACTATGGAGCCATAGCAAACAATTGAACTATATACAAAAAAATAAACCCGGATTTCTAGCAAACATATAAACATAGATCGACCCTTAGCAAACAAACCTGGTGCACTAGTACACAAACAACCACTGAAGCACAACCATGCACGAACCGAAGCCCAACCATGCACAACCCCAGCCCAAGCCCAAAGTAACCGGAGCCCGACCAGTTGTGTAACCGAGCCCGACCAGTTATTTAACCGGACTCCGACCAGTTATTTAACCGGACTCCGACCAGTTATTTAACCGGACCCCGATCAGTTATTTAACCGCACGCCTAGGTCTACTTAGACTGTAGCTGGTGTGCCCCTACATGAATTATTGCATCCAGGCATGGAGACCTCATCTTCAGAAAGACATAGCTGCTCTGGAGCTATGTCTTACCAGAGCTATGGAGCTATGTCTTACGACAAAAATCATACCAGAGCTTAGTCATCTGTCGTATCAGGAACGGTTGAGGGCCACAGGGCTAACACCACCACAAACCAGGCTCAGGGTGGACTTCATAGAAATCTTTAAAATATTAAACAATTTGGAGGATGTCGATCAGGACAATGTCTTCAAAAGATCACATGTTACACGAACAAGGAGCAACGGGTTCAAACTCAACAAGCCAGAATGCTTTTTCACCCACAGGGTTGTAAACCAGAGGAACCGCCTACCCGCCGAAGCAGTAAACGCCAAACCTGCTGGGTTTTAAAATACAGCTGGAAAAGATTCAGGACAAATAAAGGGAACTTTGACAAGCCGCCAGCTTACTGCCCTCATCGAGGCTACTAGTGTTAGTGGCCCTCAGGTAAATTCAGTTCCCGGAGGGGTGTCCCTGCTCCTTCCCGTTGGGAAGTTGTTCATCTATTGCAGTATCATACTATCATGCAAGAGGAGCCACACATCTATGGTTCATCCAATAATATCAGCAGACTTCTAGATGTTACTACTGCTCGGCTTAGAGCGTTACAAGTATCTCTGGGAATTCTCATTATCTGCTGATGTAGACCTGACCAAATGTAAACTGTGTATCAAGATTGTAATTCCTTAGCTGTAGAGATCGTGTTTAAGGGATGTAAAATTGTACTAGTGGCTGTACAAGAATGTAACAATTCTTTCGCGGCAGGGGATCCCAAAAAAAAATGTGGGGTTCAGTCCCTGAGGACTTGCCCGAAACGCTACGCGTACTAGTGTGCTGTACAAGAATGTAACAACAATTGTATATATCTCCCCCCCTATGCCCCTGTTACCTAGCAGTAAAATAAATACCTGGGTATTAGAAAAATTGTGGGGTTCAGTCCCTGAGCCCATTATGTGCCTCTGTAACCCTTTCCACTACCACCCACTAGATGGGTATGGGGTGCATAATAAATGAACTAAACTAAACTATTGCAGTATTTGTACATTGGACTGTCGCTTGTCACTAAACTTAGTTGTTAACTATTAACTTGATGAAATAATATTACCTAGCTTATACGCGAGAATAATTCGGAATTCACAGCGATAAAATTAATGAATGCGGCTTTGGGTCGGGCGGCGGCGTAGGCGAGCCTGGCCTGAGGACAGGCAACTGTAAATGCTTCACCCTACACATACTTCAAGCGAAAATAATTGCCAACAGAACCTAAATACCGAACCTACTATACGCCTAATTAATTATAGAATATAAAATTAGTTTATACACGATAAAAACTATTTTTAATACACAGTACATGAAAGTCGATAATAAATGCGTCTTGGGATGGGGGGGAAACGACCGCCGCGTTAACGAGCCTAGCCTGACGACGGGGTAGTTTAACAATGGGGAAGTGTATTCTACATAATATCCTACCCATATAATGTTGGCAAATCATGATCCTCAAAATCTTCCACAATATCCGAGAGACGACAGACTATTTAACATTAGTGGAATGCAAACATTTGAATACTACAGAACCCGGATGAAAAAAAAATACGGAAACAATGACCCTCGAAACATTACAAAACTCAATGTTATAATAGCGAACAAATATATAATGCATTAAGCATTGTAGGTGGAGGTAGACTATATATTCATGCGTACCTCCCAACTACTCAGATATATTTGCAAAAAAAAAAAAAAAAAAATATCAGTCTTACCTACACGGGAGCGACGCACCTCACGCCGCGGCTGCGTCTTGACGACTGACCGGGGTCGTAGTGGATGACCCCGTAGCGTCCAACCGACCCAGAGACCCCCTGCCTAAAATTATTTGAACGCCATATTGAAATTTCTGGCGTATAGCGCCTGGAATGTGTAAATTAATATTTATATGCATTATAGGCCTTTCTAAAGTAATTTGTACATCTGAATATCATATATTGTCTAACAAACGAATTATTTAAGTTAAGATTTTAATTATGCCAGATACAAGTTTCATCGAACAGTCTCAAGTCTCATTTTTTTTTTTTTTTTTTTTTTTTTTTTTTTTTTTTTTTTTATATATATAGAAGAGTTGTTACATTCTTGTACAGCCACTAGTACGCGTGGCGTTTCGGGCAGGTCCCTGGAATACGATCGCGAAGAATCGTTGTTACAACCAAGTACTCATTTTACTGTTGAGTTAAACAGAGCCTACAGTTAAGGATTTGCGCCTAGTCAATCCTCCCCGGCCAGGATACGAACCCATGACAAAGCGCTCGCGGAACGCCAGGCGAGTGTTTTACCACTACACCACGGAGATTCGTCGGCGGATTTATTTTTATGTTTTTTATTTATATATAGAAAAGAGTTTTTAAATTCTTGTAAAGCCACTAGCACGCATAGCGTTGCGGGCAGGTCCTTAATCTTAATTTTTTCCCCGGAATATGACCCTGCCAAATCGTTTAACAACCTATTATCTGCTGGGTGAACAGTTAAGGATTGGCGCTCGATCCGAGGCGTAGTGGAATTTTGAAACCTTGACATGCTCAACCCAACCTGACTAACATAACCTCAATCCCCAACCCAACGTAACCTTAATAAATCTAATAACCAATCTAATCCGGATTTCAGGAAATGAGTTTACCGAGTCTCCCGAATGCAGCCTGTACCTTAACAAACATAACCTAATACAGCCTAGCATAACAGTACATCCGGATTTAAAACAGTTTACAAGCATGAAAACTTCCAATTCAATGAGTTTAGCCGCCTGGTGCTCGTGTCATTAACTGTGTAACCAGAACCAAACCAGTTGTGTACCTATACTAAGTGTTTGCCTAGCAAACAAACACCTGCAGACGAGGAGTCTCAATAACGTGGCTGAAATATGTTGACCAGATCACACACTAGAAAGTGAAGGGACGACGACGTTTCGGTCCGTCCTGGACCATTCTCAAGGATGGTTCCTGTGGCCCTCAACCGTCCCTGGTATGAAAGTCGACTTAGTTCGGGAAAGATTTTAGTCGCCCGGTGTTGAACTTTCTCCAAAGCAGATATGTCTTTCTGAAGATGAGGTCTCAATGCGTGGATATAATAATCAAGTGGAAGCACACCAGAGATTTATACAGTTGTATAACTACCTTTTCCTTCGTCAAAATTTCGTTTGACTATTCCAAAGGATTTGGTTTGCTTTTATAACTGCAGCTTCCACTTGTTGTACAACTATCAGTGATTGGTGGATTCTGACTCCAAGATAATGTTGATGATTTGGTAGTTGTGCATTGTTAAGCCCCACATGGGTGAAAAAAAATCTCCTGTTTTTCTGTCCTAAGTTCTAGCTTGTTGAACTTGAAATCGTTGTTCCTTGTTTGTGATTGATTGATGAAGATTAAGCTACCCAAGAGGTGGCACGGGCATGAATAGCCCGTAAGTGGAAGATTTTATTGGAGTGAATGTGATCTTTGGTCGTAAAAGGATATACTGCGTGCTGTGCTAGCATTTAAATTGTCTGCAGTCTATGGCTGCTATCGCGAGGTGCTTGTTTGTGTTGCATCTGACCATAAATAATCATCATTGAGTTGCTTAACATTAATAGCCCTTTTAAATTAGCCCAACTTGCTTTTAAATTAGCTCTCCAAAAAGTAGTCCAAGCAAGTGGAAATTAAAAATTTGGGAGCGCGGGGCTCTCAAAAGTAGCCCAATTTTTTTCGCTACTTGTAGCCCAATCTGGCAACCCTGCACATACACACACACTTGGGGCACACGTGAGGAACACAAATGCGAACAAGCCTGAATGGTCCCCAGGACTATATGCGAATGAAAACTCACACCCCAGAAGTGACTCGAACCCATACTCCCAGAAGCAACGCAACTGGTAACTACAGGGCGCCTTAATCCGCTTGACCATCACGGCCGTCAAAAGGAAGTGATAGCCGAGGCTATTTGAGCCACTTCCCCGACGGCAACTCGGATGGTAATCTTGGGCATAGCATTTCACCAAATCACCTCATTCTTTGGGGCACACGTGAGGAACACAAATGCGAACAAGCCTGAATGGTCCCCAGGACTATATGCGAATGAAAACTCACACCCCAGAAGTGACTCGAACCCATACTCCCAGAAGCAACGCAACTGGTAACTACAGGGCGCCTTAATCCGCTTGACCATCACGGCCGTCAAAAGGAAGTGATAGCCGAGGCTATTTGAGCCACTTCCCCGACGGCAACTCGGATGGTAATCTTGGGCATAGCATTTCACCAAATCACCTCATTCTTTGGGGCACACGTGAGGAACACAAATGCGAACAAGCCTGAATGGTCCCCAGGACTATATGCGAATGAAAACTCACACCCCAGAAGTGACTCGAACCCATACTCCCAGAAGCAACGCAACTGGTAACTACAGGGCGCCTTAATCCGCTTGACCATCACGGCCGTCAAAAGGAAGTGATAGCCGAGGCTATTTGAGCCACTTCCCCGACGGCAACTCGGATGGTAATCTTGGGCATAGCATTTCACCAAATCACCTCATTCTTTGGGGCACACGTGAGGAACACAAATGCGAACAAGCCTGAATGGTCCCCAGGACTATATGCGAATGAAAACTCACACCCCAGAAGTGACTCGAACCCATACTCCCAGAAGCAACGCAACTGGTAACTACAGGGCGCCTTAATCCGCTTGACCATCACGGCCGTCAAAAGGAAGTGATAGCCGAGGCTATTTGAGCCACTTCCCCGACGGCAACTCGGATGGTAATCTTGGGCATAGCATTTCACCAAATCACCTCATTCTTTGGGGCACACGTGAGGAACACAAATGCGAACAAGCCTGAATGGTCCCCAGGACTATATGCGAATGAAAACTCACACCCCAGAAGTGACTCGAACCCATACTCCCAGAAGCAACGCAACTGGTAACTACAGGGCGCCTTAATCCGCTTGACCATCACGGCCGTCAAAAGGAAGTGATAGCCGAGGCTATTTGAGCCACTTCCCCGACGGCAACTCGGATGGTAATCTTGGGCATAGCATTTCACCAAATCACCTCATTCTTTGGGGCACACGTGAGGAACACAAATGCGAACAAGCCTGAATGGTCCCCAGGACTATATGCGAATGAAAACTCACACCCCAGAAGTGACTCGAACCCATACTCCCAGAAGCAACGCAACTGGTAACTACAGGGCGCCTTAATCCGCTTGACCATCACGGCCGTCAAAAGGAAGTGATAGCCGAGGCTATTTGAGCCACTTCCCCGACGGCAACTCGGATGGTAATCTTGGGCATAGCATTTCACCAAATCACCTCATTCTTTGGGGCACACGTGAGGAACACAAATGCGAACAAGCCTGAATGGTCCCCAGGACTATATGCGAATGAAAACTCACACCCCAGAAGTGACTCGAACCCATACTCCCAGAAGCAACGCAACTGGTAACTACAGGGCGCCTTAATCCGCTTGACCATCACGGCCGTCAAAAGGAAGTGATAGCCGAGGCTATTTGAGCCACTTCCCCGACGGCAACTCGGATGGTAATCTTGGGCATAGCATTTCACCAAATCACCTCATTCTTTGGGGCACACGTGAGGAACACAAATGCGAACAAGCCTGAATGGTCCCCAGGACTATATGCGAATGAAAACTCACACCCCAGAAGTGACTCGAACCCATACTCCCAAGCCCATTCAGGCTTGTTCGCATTTGTGTTCCTCACGTGTGCCCCAAAGAATGAGGTGATTTGGTGAAATGCTATGCCCAAGATTACCATCCGAGTTGCCGTCGGGGAAGTGGCTCAAATAGCCTCGGCTATCACTTCCTTTTGACGGCCGTGATGGTCAAGCGGATTAAGGCGCCCTGTAGTTACCAGTTGCGTTGCTTCTGGGAGTATGGGTTCGAGTCACTTCTGGGGTGTGAGTTTTCATTCGCATATAGTCCTGGGGACCATTCAGGCTTGTTCGCATTTGTGTTCCTCACGTGTGCCCCAAAGAATGAGGTGATTTGGTGAAATGCTATGCCCAAGATTACCATCCGAGTTGCCGTCGGGGAAGTGGCTCAAATAGCCTCGGCTATCACTTCCTTTTGACGGCCGTGATGGTCAAGCGGATTAAGGTGCCCTGTAGTTACCAGTTGCGTTGCTTCTGGGAGTATGGGTTCGAGTCACTTCTGGGGTGTGAGTTTTCATTCGCATATAGTCCTGGGGACCATTCAGGCTTGTTCGCATTTGTGTTCCTCACGTGTGCCCCAAAGAATGAGGTGATTTGGTGAAATGCTATGCCCAAGATTACCATCCGAGTTGCCGTCGGGGAAGTGGCTCAAATAGCCTCGGCTATCACTTCCTTTTGACGGCCGTGATGGTCAAGCGGATTAAGGCGCCCTGTAGTTACCAGTTGCGTTGCTTCTGGGAGTATGGGTTCGAGTCACTTCTGGGGTGTGAGTTTTCATTCGCATATAGTCCTGGGGACCATTCAGGCTTGTTCGCATTTGTGTTCCTCACGTGTGCCCCAAAGAATGAGGTGATTTGGTGAAATGCTATGCCCAAGATTACCATCCGAGTTGCCGTCGGGGAAGTGGCTCAAATAGCCTCGGCTATCACTTCCTTTTGACGGCCGTGATGGTCAAGCGGATTAAGGCGCCCTGTAGTTACCAGTTGCGTTGCTTCTGGGAGTATGGGTTCGAGTCACTTCTGGGGTGTGAGTTTTCATTCGCATATAGTCCTGGGGACCATTCAGGCTTGTTCGCATTTGTGTTCCTCACGTGTGCCCCAAAGAATGAGGTGATTTGGTGAAATGCTATGCCCAAGATTA